AAATTCACCTTCACGGTCCGGGCTTCCCTGTCCGCCCTCCTGCGAGGCCGGTCCTCCGCCGCCTGGGGTCCGGCCTCGGCGCCGCTGGCTCGTGGCCTCCGAGGCACTGGGGTCCGGAGCTCCGGCCCAGACGTCCTTGGCTTTGGCTCAGTCCCTCCCTAGGCTCCCGGCTGTAGTCTCGTGGCGCCTGGGCCTCCTGTCCTTTTCAGAGCAGAGCATGGCCCTGCCCTTCCCGCCACACCTCGCCGACCCGGGGAGTTGGAGCCGGCTGCCCAGCTGCGGCCGGCACTGTAAATGCCCCGCAGTCCTGGGGAACAGGTGAAATCGCATCTGCCAGATTCCGAATGCTTTCCCCTGTACAGCCAGATTTGAGCCACTTCAATTACAAAGCACAGCGAGCATAGCTTAAACCCCTCCCTGTGGGTTTTTTAATGTTAACGTTTAGATTCTGGGCCTATTATTTACTTGGAGCAAAGGTTATCCTGCAGTCTAAGAAGAGTGTAAACAAACCTGTTTTCCATTAAATTCTCACAGGTTTTTTGCCTCCGAAATCAGATTCAGAACCTCTATTCTAGAAATCGGGCTCTACCTCCCATCTGCAGGCTCTCTTCCTGTACCCTTCTTTTACTACCAAGGGAAGAGACTAAGTCTGAAATGGTCTTTTTCCTCAGGTGTTCTTCAACCTCCGAATTGGAGATGAAGACGTAGGCCAGGTGGTCTTTGGTCTCTTTGGAAAGACTGTTCCAAAGACAGTGGACAATTTCGTGGCCTTAGCTACAGGAGAGGTAAGTGGCTGGAGCAGAGACTGTCAGTGCAAATCGTGTGGAGTTGGCAGCAGACAGCTGCACTGGGCAGTCTTGGCGTGGTGGCCCTCGCTGCATGCCAGCTGACTGTCGCCCCAGGAATGCAGCAGGCAGCACTGACATATCTTAAGAGTAAGGGGCCCAGAGCTTCCCAGGGAGACTTCCCCTGGGGAGATAGTAAGGGGCTCTAGGGGACAAATGGGTCCTGCT